GGGTGAGGAGTTTGAGGTTGAGGGAGGTGAGGTGAGGCGGACATGTAGAGGGTTGTCGAGGTAGAGGGTGAGAAGCTTTCTCGAGGTCGATAGATAGGAGGTTCTGGACGATGACCGGTGTAAGGGGGAAATGAGGTCAGAATGAAAGAGAAATTTGGTTTAAATTAGGTAAGATCAGATCAGATAAAAGGAAAGAAATATGTACAAGTTAGAAGATGAATATAAGGGTAATAATGCGTTATTTTTGTTACCTTTTTGACAATGTTATTTTGTCCGAAATATTATGAATTTTAAAGTTTTCTATTTCTCACAGGTCTGTCGTTTTTAGTCAATAATTCCACAAGAGTTGATAGATCGAAAATGTTAAAGAATACTTGGCATTTGGGAGAAAAAAGTAAAGGATTAAAAAAGTTTATGAAAAAACAAAGCACATTTCTGTAGGTAGAGTGGCATAGGATGCAGAAAGTGACATAAATTAAGGTAAAAATTGAAAAAAATAACGAAAGAAAATGATCATTATCATCATCATCACTTTAGCTCTAAAAGATGGATTACTAAAGATTGAATAATATAAACTAAGAAAAACAAAGGATGACAAAGGAATACTACTTAATTAGGAGAAAGGAAAGGGTGTTCAGAAAGAGAAAAAAGAGGGAAAATAAATACGAAAGAAGCAAGGTTGAACATTTTCGAAAAATGAGAGACATCAAAACAGACTGAAATGATTTTATTAACGTAAATGATATACTTCAAGTGCAACTGAGATTATGAATCATCTAAATACTTTTTTCTCCTTGACAGAAGTAAGATTATGAACTAAATAACCTTGATACACGTGTACACAGCACAGAACTCCTACAAAAGCACACGACACAGATATTCAAGAAACAACAAAAAACAACAACAACAAAAAAATGCAGTTCATATTAAGCGCTCTGTCCATCGCTTTTCCATTCTTCGTCTTTTCATCGATCTATCTCTACCAATCGACAGTATCTTCCCAGACGCGTAGATACATTTACATATGTTGTTGTATGCATTTCCGACTCTGTTTACATAGTGAGTAATGGGCAGTTAATCGTATTGTTGTATGCATCTATACTTAGGCACAATACACACACGTACAAACATTTTCCTAGTTGTGGGAAAATATGAAGACAAAATCATGAGGCCATTATGACGATGAAGAAAATAAAGCTAAAAATGGGTACAGCTAAAAATAAAAATGAAAATTGTTAACTTCATGTTCGTGTTGAATATAGGTACTTATTACCGCCAATGGAATATTTGAGAATCGATAGATATGTAAACAAATAAACAAATAAGTGAATGCAGACTACCATGCAAATAATTCATTTATAATGACGTCACTATAAAAATCCTTGTATCAACATAACCATCACCATTGTCACCAGATTCGTTTTTATTACAACTAGAATTATAACTTTCCTCTTTCAGACGCATCAGTGTTCAATATACCAGTACAATTACTCATTATTCCAATAGCAATCTGTACTGATAATTAGTCACTGTAGGGGCTGTCTGTAATATGACAATGACGATTATTCTGAATTCAGAGGAAATCTGTGATTACAAACATTTCCGTTCTGATGTTAATGACGGAACGTGTGTTCACCATTAATCATTTCGAGCAACAAAGCATTGCAGCTTGTACATATCCCATTTGTACTTCAGCATGATGTATTTATTAGGTTCTTGTTGCAGTGTCATGGTTACAAACTGATTTTATGATCAACTTTGCATTTTTGTTTTTATTTTTTGGACCTTTGCTACCGTCACAGTGCAAGAAGTAGAATGCTATGCACGATGATTTACAAGAAAGATATATTATTGCAATGTTGGCGTATTCACGAACAGTAAAGTGGTTAGTCAAAGGAAACCTTGAACGCTGGGGTATAGATATCCTTTTTTATGTCTTTGTACGAAGAAAAATCATGACTGGTGTTCATTGAATGTAAGCAAACAATAAGAAAAATCGAAACAAGCAAAAGAGACAAAAAAAAGTAGAAAGGAAGAGAGAATGGGGGAGAGAGAGAAAGAGAGAGAGAGGGAGAGAGTGGAGGGATGGAATGAGAGAGAGGGGAGAGGCAGAAGAATATATATGTACATTGTGTGTGTGTGTGTGTGTGTGTGTGTACACACACACACACACGCATATATATATATATATATATATATATATATATATATATATATATATATATATATATATATATATATATATATATATATATATATATATATATATATATATATATATATATATACATATAAATACATATAGGTATGTATATATATTTGCGTGCGTGTGTGGGCGTGCGGGTATTTTTATTTGTGTATGTATGCAAGGAAAACCTTGAGGCCCGATTAGTTCTCCGGGAAGAAGTCAAGACGGCCAGAAAACATGCGCCTGTATTGATTCTTTCCGAGTTTCTCAACGTTTTAGCATTATTTACGGTTTTCCTCGGCCTTCCGCATGCACATTTTGGCTGACATTATGAAGTTCCCAGGATTAATAAACAAATGCAAAGAGAAAAGAAGAAGAAAAGGATAATAATCTGTGGTCCAGCGTGAGTGTTCAAGACCGATGCTTTCGAGTAAAAATAAAACCTTTGTATGGAAAACGAAGGAGTTTCTTCGTCTTTTGAGAAACCAGGCGAGTGACTAGACGAAAGCCTGAGATCTCAGACGATCCTTTCCGATAACTAGTACGTCGAAAATGAATAGCTTTGGCTCGCATTGCTTCTTTTGCGAGACCAAATGGCGTAACAAGAAAGCCTAAGATTTCCTAATATCCTTTCCGATAACTAGTACGTCGAAAAAATGAATAGCTTTTGCTCAATTTGCTGCTATTAGGGTATGTAGA